GGAGTTCATACTTGGGCTGTCTTTGAATTTGTTGGGCTGCTTGGCTGAGATTAAGGGCAGACAGTTGTCATCTTTGGTGTGGCGTGAGCATTTCCTAAAGCCAAAGCTGCCCTGAACAACAACCATCCCCGAGTTTAAAATGCTTGGGGGTCAAAGTTTCTATACCTTCCCTGTGCAGCTATGGAGGGAAGTCACAAAAACCTGCTGAATTTATCACTTCTCCTGTGGCAGTTTCTTCTTGGCAGAGTGAGAAAGATGAATTGCTTAACTTTCAAATGAGACGAATAGAATTCTCAGTGGGGTTGAATTATTTTTAGATGTTGTATCATTGGGATTTCGTACCCCAGTGTTTGATGCTTTTGGCTGAGATGATGAACCTTCTCTGAACCTATTCCACACGCCTGATTGAGTGCCTGCTTGTGTGCTCTTGTTCTCTCTCTTTTCTATCCCTGTTCCCCTAAACCTGTGGTTCAGGGACATGGTTTAGAAGTGGCCCGGTAGAGTTAGATAACGGTTGGACTTGATGCTCTTAAAGGTCTTTGCCAACTACAACAATTCTGTGATTATAAGGAGAATTTGTTGTGAGCTTTGTCCCATTAGGTGTGGGCCATCAAATCTGTCTCTTGAGTGATTAAGGCACAGTTCTACAGTTATTCTCTCGCCGGACCCCTCTTAAAATGCTGCATTTACGCGGTACTGATCTTTTCAGATTGCATCCTAGATAATATATCCTACCACATATTTCATACTTTTTTATTAAGACCATAGTCTCATAATTTCTGGCAGTTGGGGTAATAAGTTTACATCCTTTTGTCTGAGTCTGTTTGTTTAAGCAGTAAAATTCCTGTTGTTTTTAAAAATGTTCCATGATGATTCTTAAAGGTCAGACACATCATTACATTTAGGTATAAGAACCAAACAGCAGTGTATTTTCTGTTGAAGTAAGTCTTTTAGAGAAATACCTACACAATAAGAAAAGAAGTAAGGGTGGTCTTGTCTTTTTAGTGGTACAAGCTACAGTTACTAGCATTGGCAGGGATCTCTTCTTTGTAAAAGCAAAAGGAAATAAAACTTTCGGTTAGATGGTATAGTTGCAGACAGAGGTTTATTTTTCATCACTACATCTTTTATATACCTGCATTCAGTATTTAAATGTATTTCCTTTGGCAAGTGGAAGTCGAAAAGCTCTGCTCAGTTCTGGCACGTGTGAATTTTTCATGCTGCTTGCAGGGTGTCCATCTGTATGCATTGGCCCTGCATGAACTGCCAACAAGGTGCAGAGAACAAATATTGCAAACATTTTCAAGTCTCTTGAGGATGACCAATAGGTACACTCTTTGTTTGAATGATTTTTATCCTTAAGTATGTTCTTATCCTAATATTTTGGGGTTTTTTTTTTTCTGTATGGTCAACTCTAGATAGCCTTGTTTTAACCACAGATAGCACATTTATTTCATTGGGGAATACATTATGTTCAGTTAAACCTACGACATGTTTTACTAATGTTAAAGCAATGCAAATTTAAAATTGTGCGTGCACACCAAAGTGAATATTCACGGTCCCTGTCTAAGTAGGATTTGGAACGATTCAATATAAATACTTTTGGACCCCTGCTGAATTGGGTCAGCTTTGTCTTCTTTGCCCTTAAGAGGAGAAAAACATGTTACTTCGTGTTTGCAATTTGAGTAGCCTGAGAGGTACTGGAATGAAGCCAGGGTCCACCAGATCTGAATCCCTGTAGTTGGGTTTGTTACCTTTTATGCTGAGAGGTCAGAATATATGAAAGTGCCTTTGAAAGTGCTATACATCCCCTACTTGAATTCCAACAATGGCCCCAAGAGAAGCCCAAGAGCATCTATTGATTACAGGGGTTTTTCAAAGGCACTTTTTCAATACCAGGACCAAGAAAAGTGCAGGAACACGGAGAGAGTTTGAGTGGCACACACAGCTAAAACGCTTCTTCCCTTTTAACAGTACCTTTTCTCCCCCAACACGCTATGTAGATTTGTGGGGTTTTGGGTTGTTTTTTTTTCCTGATATCTGGATATTAGGCCCTTTCTTTTCCGCTTTATTTCTTATTTCAGGGGAATATAGCAGCTTTCACCCCTGAGGAGCCTGATGGCTGGCAAGCCGCGGAAATTGAAGGGCAGCCTTACATGTAGCACTACCTTCAGATGCAGAAAACAGATTCCCTCATCCTTTGTCCCCTGCAGCACCATCCCACAGGGCATCCCAGTTTCTCTCTGCTGCCCGTGGACAAGCACGTGTCAGGCTCTGGTGCGTGTGAGCAGGTTGTTTCCTACGCAAGTGTTTGGGAGAGGATGATCTGTATACGCTGGAAAGATCCTGCAGCCAGCATCGGGTATGGATAGGCTTTCAGTAATATATCACCATCCAAATGTCAGTGGAAGAGAGGAGACAGGCCATCTTGCTGTGTTTGCTGAAGATGTCATGGGTGTGGGCCTGAGGAACTGTGGATTTGGTGAGATTTTTTTTTAATGCTTGACAACTAAGCAGTACTCACTTCGTTGTTCATCAAAAGAAGCAGAGTGAGAATGAGTATGAGGAGAGAATCCTCCTGCCAGTGTGTACAGTGAGGGGAACCGTGCTGTTTCAAGGAGGGGTGAGTTGTGGGGAGGAAGGGAAAAACGGAGTGTAAAGGGACCAGGAATAACAGAATGAGGAAAGGTAGAGAGGGGTTGAAGGGTGTGCTGGTTTAAATGGAAGAGGATACATTTTGTTTCAAAGGGAGCACTGAAAGTATGGGAAGAAGGCGGCAATTATGAGACTGGCAAATTATTTTAGAGAAGCTTGCAGTGTACGTCTTGAGCCTGACCAAATGTGGGCTTTGCTGTCTTTTCCAACAGTTAACCTGGCATCCACTGGTGAGAAGAGAGTGATAGCCCTTTTCTTTGAATACTGTAGAATCAGAGAACAGCCTAGGTTGGAAGGGACCTCGAAAGACCGCCTGGTCCAACCTTTTGCGGGAAAGGGGGCCTACATGAAATTATGTAGCACCCTGTCCAATTGTATATAAACGTCATTTTCTTCCTGAAGAGGTGAAAGAGATGTGAGATTTTTCAGACTAAAAGATTACAGATAAAGTCGTCTTTTGTTTTGAAGGCCTAATTCCTATGAGCCTGAGAGATGAACAAGTCACATACTTCAGCCGGGCGGAGTCACCCGGAGCCAGTAAAACACTCTTGCTTTGTCGGTGTTCTGCATAGGAGAGAACAGGAGACCTTGTTTGTCTCCAATTTGCTGATTTCTGTATTACAGGAGGCAGCTGTGGGCAACATCTGTCACCTGTCCCAAACACAGCTTGTGGAGGCTTGCCTTGCGAATGTGTTCAAAATTAGCTGTACTCGACTTCTATCCTAGCAAAACATGGATGATGGGAGAGAGGGGCTGGCCCCAGCTGGCTGTCACTGTCACTAGACCTTTACTAAAGTAAGGCTGTAGATCTGCTCGTTCAATCCACACCAAAGGAAGGTTCACTTTGAGCAAATCCTACCAACCTATAACCAGTCTATAATATTCTTAACAAACGTGGTTTCGCTCTCGTGTGTTTGGGTAAATCTCCCGAGAGCAGTGCACAGGGTACGGTGGCTCTGTGCAGCTGTTCTGTGAAGGAGCAGAACAGATTCGGCCGGTAAAATGTTGCTGAATCCTATTGGATTAAGAACTTCTGTATTTGCTTTGATCATGCCAAAGAATGTATCTGTACCTATGTCTGCAAACCCTGGAAATATTTTGACACAATACGGTTTATTTAAAATGCTTATTATGCTTAAAGTAATTTAAAGGGCTATAGGAGAAAATCAAACGTGCAGGTGTTGAACTATTTCTGAGATTTCCCCACATGTACACACCCCTTTGTGTATCAGTGGTCAGAGGTACTCGTGTTATACTACTGGTAATACAGCAGTGTCTCTTCATGATCTGCAAGGAGAGAACTATGAGGAGAGGCTGAGGGCTTGTTTATCTGGGAAAGAAAACGCTAAGGTGTGATATAAAGCAGCCTACTGCAATGGAAAGGGGAATTACAAAGATGATGGAGCCAAACTTTTCCCCGTAGCAGCAGATGCTGTAATGAGGCAGCAGCTGCAGATTGCTGCTTGGGAGGTTTTTGTTGAACACAAGGAAGTTTTTTCTCACTGGAAGGGTAATGCAGCACTGGACTGAGTTGCGTGGAGAGGTGGTAAATTATCCATCACCAGAGGTTTTCGAGACTTAGCTAGACAAAGTCGGAGGCTGTCCTAGTGTTGGCAGTGCACCCACATCGAGCAGGAGGCAGGCTAGATGATCCCCAGAGGCTGCTTCCGACTAACGTGTCTTTGGCCTGTGATTGTTTGGTGGCCAGTTGTAGTTCAGAAGACAGGTTACTTGAAGATTTAGTATTTTTAGATCACGGGTAGATTTTTGAGTTGAGTTGTTCTCCAAAGCAATACCAGAACTGGTATCTGAAGTCACTAGTATGTGAAATGTTTTGAAATTTTCAGTTCTGGCTAGTGAGACTATTGAAATTACAAGTTATTGTAAGACTTGCCTGCTAAATCTAAATTAAAAAGGACAACCTGGGTGCAACTCTGAGTGCAATAGAAGCTTATAATAAAAGACGTCTTGTACAATTAATCTGACCAAGAATTAAAAACACGTCCTATAAAGGGGAGGTAGGAACAAATACTAATACCTAAGACTACTCCTTATGAACTGATAATTGCGGTGTTTTGGGTCTCTTGTATAATAGTTGGAATTCCTTGAAGTGCACCTGTAATGTGAGTTGTGCTAATTATTGCAATTTGAAGCTATCACATACTGGAACTGTCATTGACAGTCTAGCCCTGCCTTTCTTCCAGCTCAGAGGAATCCCAATACAGCACGTTCTGTAATCGTTGTCAGCGGGAATCACTGCTGAATTTGGACTCAGTGACAGTGCATTGATTGATTTATTACTGGCATCAGTTTCCCTGTTTCACTTCTGCAACTTCTTATTTTAGGGCTTCTTCAGTAAACGTCTGAAAGGGTCCATCAAGAGGACAAAGAGTCAGTCAAAGCTGGACAGGAACACAAGTTTCCGTCTCCCATCTCTCCGCAGTGCTGATGACAGGTAAGGTTCAATGCATCTCCCAAAACAACCTCTCCTCATCCAGAGGCACTTTGCAAAATCTACATGCAGCATGCATATGCGCTCACAGAATGAAAGCAAGGAGAGGGATTTATTGTTAAACTGGCAGGTGGGTGGGTTTTGGGCTGACTCTAGTATGTTAGAAGTTGTTTAGTATACAACATACCACTGACACAGGACTGAAAACTTTTACTGCTCTTAACAGCTGATGAAAAGCTCACGTTAAGCATATGGACTCAAATACCTTTTTCTGTATCTGTTTCAAGTAAGATGCAGACTTTAAATTTCATGATACAAAACCATTGGATTGATCAGCTTTAGAGAAATTTGCCCTGATGCATGCAATACTTATCCACAGATCGGTGCAGTGGCCAATATGAGGGATTATGCTGGTGCAAGCAGATCAGTTCAGCTAGCACTGGCAAAGCACAGAGACGTATGGTGCAGTTCAGGTACATTAAGAATCCTTGCTAATGTCAGTCGATTGTATAGTTACTGCAGTGTTACTACAATGAACAGACGGCCTGTTTTTCAGAAAACTGAAAAACTCAGTAACTTCTGACCATCTTAGTGCTCCATTTGGTATATTCTTGCTTCTTTAGTTTCTGGCTGTCAATTCAGGCTGGGAACGGATGGTATATGAGGCAAGCAAAGCTCATACACACGGTTTTTCCTACCTATTTGTAAAGTCTCTTGATTGTTTTCATTAAACATTACTGTGTGTTACATTCCACAGTAGCCCAGCAGGAGACTAGACTGAGTGAAAAATAGGTTGCCCTGTACTTAAGGCCACGGCAGGCTTCTGTGATTTTATGTTGTTTAGTGCATTTTCCCTTCTCCTTTAGCTGAGTTGAATTCATTAGTTGTATCTGTCATGCTGTGCTGCTTCAATCAATGGCAGTATCTTCTCCATCTGAAAAGCAGCTTCGTAAAATCATGGAGATTGCAAGGCTTCGGATGTTAGCAGTCTTGTTAACTTCAGGGGTTAGAGAAATGACTGTCGCTTACCAAATATGACTAATGATGCGGATGATGTTGCTCCTAGTAATGTCCACCCAGTCTGTTTTGAGTCAAATTTTGTTATAAATCCCTATTTTCAGGGAGTTGCAACATGGCTATAAAAAGCAACTCAGTGAGCATAAGCATGTTAAATAATACCACCGTGTGATAAAGTACCTGTTATTTTTACCGTTGTTTGTAACCAGCTTTGCTTGAAGTTTTGTAGCGCAAAAATCTCTTTGCCTTAGATGATGTATTTGTCTTTCCTTAACTTGGTACTCATAGTGGACGTGGACTGCTGATACTTCCTTTTGCAGTGTAAGGGAAATGCTGTCGTTCCAGGAAAGCCAATAAATTTAGCTTTGGTTTAAGACATGGTATTACACCCAGCAAAGCCACCTTCTCTTTAAAACTGGATCCCCCTCTACTCCCTGCCAGTGTGGGCATTGTCAGCTAGACCCAAATGAAACATGGATTTTTCTCTGATTGCTTGCAAAGCAATCCAACGCATGCGGTGAAGGCATTGAGCATAGCTGGTCTGTTCTGTCAGTCCCTTCAAGTCTTCTTGGCATGAATTTAAAAAGGAGGATCCAGAAGCAAATGAACTGAGAAGTTCCAATGGCAGAGTGCATGTAGAGGTTTGGGGGACGGAGCCCTGGCAAGCCAATAACGCGCCGGATGTTAGACAGGGACAAGCCAGTGGTTGCTCTTTACTTTCGATCTGGTCACCCTCCTCCTTTGGCCTGCTACACGAGCCTTATAGCAATGCATCTTGCATCTGTAGGGCAGGAGATGAGACAGTGTTTTGGGGGATTTGTGACTTGATACGGTCGCTTGCTACTAGTGGAATGAAACATTTTTGATAACCAGTCCGTGTGATCTTCCTCCTTTCAGAGGTATGTGTGCTGAAGTGAACAGAGGGCACAGTTTGGAGGTGAGAGAGATCACCTGAGAGTAGCCAAGCTATGTGGAAAGCAAGCTAACCTGAAGTTTATTTGGAGATAAATCTTTGTACAAATGAGTATTGCTGTTCAAAAGCATGAGCCTCACCTCAAGCTGGTTGAAGTCTCGTGCTGCAGGTGAGGGTCACAAATTGCTGATATGCTTTCTTTCCAAAAATAACTTAACAGCACTACTCAACTTTGTTGTTACGTTTTGTTGTAAAGATTGAAGTTTTAATGGAGTTCTCTTTGCATTTGTGGTCTAATCAGACAGCACACCAATTGAATATACCAACTTTGAAAGTTTACGGTTAGGGATACTAGTTTTCTAATGGTATTTTGTAAATAAAACCATAAAGGAAATTCAGTTCCATTGTAAAGTGAAACTTGCCAATGATTTCTCCCTGATTATTCCCTTAGATACAGTTTCACTCTGTATCTAAGGGTGCCTGAAAAATGCAATTGGTGGGTAGAATAGCAGGAAAAACAACTTGGAAACCGTGTGGGAAAGAAGCACTGAAGATGAGGAACAGATTAGTAGACTGGGAGGAGATGGGCTGGAGGAAAGAGGAGGCTGAAAAGATTGATTTGTGTTTAGAATTGTGCTGTTGTTTGGGATTTTTCCAATGGGACGAGTCAGGGACAACTGTTTCTGCGTGAAAGAAGATAACACGTAGCAGCTGACTCTAAATTCGTTGCCGTTCTCTCACCTTCTGCTCTCCCTGCTTTCTGTATGAGTCTCGATCTGTTGCAGTAAGAACTTTCCTGTCCTACCCCGGTGAGTCAGCCCTTTCCCATTTTAAGCAGGTGATGCTAGGTGATGTCATGGTGTTATACAGGTTTTCAGAGCCAGGTTGACTGATAGCATCTACCTTTTCTTGCTCTGACAAATGCAAGAGTCCTGCCTTCAAAGAAAGTATCATATAGCTTTATAAATTAAAACCCTGCAAGGATTCGAAGGAAATAGTGGCCGCTGTCATGTTGCTTTTCTCATGCTTTTGAGGTGTTTGGGTCCTGTTAAGAAACAGGAGATTTTTAAAGAGAAATAACTATAAAATTAAAACTAAAGAAGATTTGTTATCCTGGTACACATCAGGATTTGGGATACTGTAACACTGCATGCCATTCCAGATGGTGACAGAGGATTGGGGTAGTGTAACACTGCATGCCATTCCAGATGGCGGCAGAGGATGGATGCTGTCTGTTCAGAGTTGATTTAAAATAGAAAGGATTGAGGAATGCTGTAGGATGGAGATAAGCAATTGGCCAACCCAGTGTGACTGGGTTAGTGGATGGGGACAGGAGAGAGCTGCGGTGCCCCTCCAGAAACAAGTCCACCGTGGGTCAGCATGAGGGTGTCCTGTATGAATCCACAGCCTCTCAGGCTCTATTACTTTGGTTACTCCAGGTTCAGGTTGTTTGCTGGGTGGTCTGTTTTATTTGAAGACTCATGGTTTCTCTTCACAAGGCACTACCATGAGAACGCTTAGACTGCTGGGTTGTGACCCATGCCGGATGTGAATGAAGCTCTTCAGAGGTGTGGCCAGCACAGCATCTCACCAGGTTATCAACAGCTCTCACCATGAGGCTCTCTGGCACCGTCTTACCGTATCATCTTTCACAGCTTTTTTCTAGCCTGGTTCCCACTGCATTCTTTGAGCTGCTCAACCCACACATTTGTCTCTAACATTTTCTCAGTGTCAGTAATATATAAAACATGTAAAAAAGCATGAGAAAAGATTTAAGGAAAATTACATTTGAAAGGACAGACCAAATATTTTGGGTTTGCGGCCAGGAATTTGAGAATACTTCCAAGTGGACTGACAGTTCTCGCCTGGGTTTTGTTTATGGTGAGGGAGCGAAGATGGTTGAGACTGGCTGCATATGGTCTCAGCCACTGCAATAAAGCTCTGCGGACAGCTGGGAGGGTTTTGCCCTGTTGGGATTTACTGCCACGTGGGAATCCTCCTGCTTTACTAAAAGTCATTTTATGGCATTATCAGATAGTCGTAGACGAGCGCAGGATCGGTTGTGTGCTTATTCAGAATGGGCTCCGGCGGGTTGCAGGGAAGCGAGTAGCCATGGCTCTTGGGTTCATGGTGAAACGGTATCGCTGCTCAAATGACAGCTTTTTCTACTTTCGGTAAGTTCTTGCTCCTCCCTCCTGGTTTCTTTGCAGTATGAAAATAGCGCAGATCATATAAATAATAGACGGAAATCTTGCTGTCTTTTTCGTGTTCATTCATTCTGATTTAATGCCGGTTTTCAAAAAAAAGAAAGGTGGGTAATTTTTACCCTGCTTTAGACGTAAGGATAAAAATCCTTGTTACACAATGTGTTATTAAGGCTTGACTCACTCAGAGCTTGTATTCATTCAGCGTATCTGTTTCTATCTGCATACTGGAGTATGGGAAAAGGGGAGGGGTGGTTTGTTTCCGGAGAGACATCTCAGTCCTGTTTTGGTGAACATATTTCTTTCAGCCAGTTTTTTCAATCCCCATGCAGTTGTTTGTTTTTCAGTGAAAACTAAAGGAGATTTCAATGTTAAGCCAGTTGTCGCAAACCTTCACCTTGGTGCTAGGCTGTTCTGTCCCACCTGCAAGCTCGCTTGACCCCTTTATAAAAACATCCTTCTTGACAGCCCATGCTTTTCTGCAAAACCCGGGCTCCTCCACATTGCATTCCCCTGGAAATCACTTAGCGGTGAAATGAAACTGAATCGGTTAAGCATCTCTGGTCCAGCAAAACAAAAGAATTTGAAACGTTAATAGCAGAGACCACGTTTACAGTAGAGCGAGGAGAATGCTACCACTGTGAAATTCAGCAGCCTGTTTGGCTGCACCGTTTGAGGTGTCTATTAGACAAGCTGTGATCCGTAGGGAGAGCAGGCAGGCAGGGATGGGCTTTGCAAATCCAGCGTTCAAACAATGAGGCTTTGGGTAGGGCCTTGCAAGAAAAGACCAGAATCTCGATGGAAGGCTAAAGCAACAGGCTCAGAAAAAAGCCAGCGTTTAATTGCAGTTGAGTAGAACTTGCGTCTAA